AATCTCAAAACGAAAATGAAAAGGTAACACTTTTCATTTCGTCAATTTGAGGTTAAAATTTCGAACAATTATCTGTCAAATTCAACTTTTAGTTCAAAAGTTTTGTGAATTAGAGTAGGCTTAGAGAATTTAAATGTCAAACTATTTTGGGACGAACGAATTTTCGAAATTAAATAGAAACAGAGTAGGGAACGTGCGAAATTTCGATCGAAATAGAGTAGGCCTCCTGCTCCGTGGACGGAATAGGGAGAATAGACTAATTGGGCTATCATTTACCACACGGCTCTAGTGCGTATTGGTGGGTACTAACAACTGCAGGTGCAGTCAGGACAGGAGTTGGCGGGCAGTGGGAAGAGAGTTTTATCGCTGGGCTATAAGTGACTGTGCGAGTACAACGGGCGATTACTCGCACCACACGAACGCGTTAACAGTACACGCACGCGTTTTGACGGCCAAGAGCTCATCACTGAGCGCGTATTATCTTTGATAACTTTTGTTGCTCAGCGACAAACTAGTAGAGCGAGTGAACAGTGTGAACAGTCAGCGATCAACTATATTTTGTATTAAATTTACTAGTTTTCGCTAGGGGCCGCATAGCATAACGGTCAGTGCATTCGCCCGAATACCAAAGGGTGAGGGTTCGAGTCCCGTCTGCTGCCGATGGTGGTGATAGCGAAGCGAAGTATCAATAGGTACATATTAAAACTACTTTCTCTTGTGACAGAACACCTCATCTGCCCGGTGTGACCAGATGTCACTGCGAATTGCAATGTTACCAGCATACAACTGGATGGAAGAGGCTCCGCATTCGAACTGCAACACCTAAATTTTAAATTGTGGTAATTTAACACATCTAAATCATAAAGGAAACAAATCTAGTAATTTTAGTTTAATGCTTCAAAAATTAAAATATAACATATAAACATTTTTCTCAATTTTATGTGTACTTATATCAAAAGAAAATCTTACTAAAAAAATATGGGTGCGTGTACTTAAGTACGCGCGTGAGAAGTTATACTTCTTTTTGGAATTGTTAAAAAATAGTTTTTAATTGCATGCAGATAATTAATTACAATAAGATAATAAAAGGATTGGAAAAGGATAGTCAACGCAGTCAATAAAGTTCAGTTTTAATTTGAAAAATTTAATAAATAATCAAAATATTCAATTTAAATCACTACTGAATAAAATTTATTAGCACATATAAATTTCGCATTTGTATAACATTATAACACGTGTTAAGAATATAGAAACTAGAAACATGTGGATAAATATTATAAATATGAAAACAGTGATCAGAGGCGACGAGCGTCCCAACATGTGCGACTAAGAGATCCTATTACTATTTTGTTGGAAGCTTTTTTTCGAGACTTACGAGTAATGTGCGGTTTAACGGCCGACTTCATGGTGTTACTTTTCTGTTACAGTGTTGCGCGCGCATCTTAAAATTTCACTCTCATCATTTTTTCATAACGCGCCCGCGGCTAACTTCATTATGTTACTTTTGTGTTACAGTGATGCGCGCGCATCTTAAAATTTCACTCTCATAATTTTTTCATAACGCGGCTAAAGAAGTATAACTTCAAAAACTGGCCGAGTGCACGCTGGGTTCCGTAACATTATACTGTAAATAACTATAACTTATAGATTTTTCTGTAATCTAGATGCAAGAACAACATTCCATTATTTTTTTAATTTTTAACGTACTAATTTCGGGGAAAAGCTGGTCAGGTCAATTTTCATCTATTTCCTTAAATAACTTTTAAACCATTTATTTACCATTTGTAAAAATCTAGTTCTCTGGGGAAGAAAACACAGGTTCGCGAGATCCAGCGTCGTATACAATTAGGATGGGCGGCGTTTGGCAAACTGAAAGATGTTTTCAAGAGCAATATCCCAAAAAAACCTCAAACGCCGTGTCTATGAGCAATGTGTGCTTATGGTCATGACTTATGGTGCCGAAACATGGACCATCACAAAGCAACATTTACACCAACTTCAAGTTGCGCAGCGGGACATGGAGCGGGCGATGTTGGGCATTTCCCGAAGAGACCGAATCAGAAATGAGGTCATTCGAAGAACGACAAAGTTACCTGACATCGCTTGTGTAATTTCCCGCAGCAAATGGAAATGGGCGGGACATGTCTGTAGACGCGAGGATGGCAGGTGGAGCAGAAAGGTAATGGAATGGAGGCCGAGAACCGGACGCAGAAACGTGGGGGTCAACCAGCCCGGTGCACAGATGACATCATTAGGATAGCCGGAGCGAAATGGATGCAGTCTGCCCGAGATCGCAATAGATGGAGTGCAATGGAAGAGACCTTCACTCAGCAGTGGGTGGATAGTGGTTGAGGAAGAGAAGAAGAAGAAAAATCTAGAGCTAAATTATAATTTTCTAATTCACCTTCCAAAAGTTACTCCTATAATCGGAATATGTGTGACTGACACACAAAGTATGTATCCAATTTCAACTTGATCGGTCCAGTAGATTCCGAGCGAATTGACTGTGGCAGATCGGCAACCGAGTGATCCTATAAGGGTTCCGTTTTTGCCGATTGGGGTACGGAACCCTAAAGAACTCTGTTCTAATATCAGCCTGGAATCGAACTTACACCCTATGGAATTTGGGCGATAACACTTTGCTTGCAGAGACATTAAAGGAAGGCTACAGGTCGCGGCACGTAACTTTATGGCTGAACAAAACGCGGAGGACTTTTTTGTCGTACCTAATATTACTGAGCCATAAAATCCTTAACAAGTACGACCTTTATATCTAAAAGTCCTGCCAAACTGGCTGGTCTGTCCGGCTATTAGGTTTGGCTACTTGGCACCCTAAGCTTTTTTCCACTTTTCATAAGCTGCAATATCATCAACTTCGAATCATCATTAGCCTATTAATGTCCCCACTGCTGGGGCACAGGTCTTCTCTATGGGTGGATTATTGAGATTGGGACATGACCGCCCACGCGGGCCCAGTGCGGATTGGCGAGTGGCAACGACTGCAGATGTAGCCGAGACCAACGGTTTAACGTACCTTCCGAAGCACGGAGGAATTCGAAATAGAAGATTTTTGGTCACTCATCCATGCCCATCCATCCATCCATGACCGACCACTGCGAAAGTTGCTTAACTTCAACGATCGCAGCCGATCGCACTAACCGCCCGCGCTATCGAGCTTCGAATAATTTTCAGAAAATTTTTGTTGTAGTTGAATGCCTATGATATTGAGGCAATGTAAAACACTTTAAAAGTGAAGAGCGAACGATAGTTAACTCGCTTGAGCTTGGCCACACTCGGTGCTCGCTCGTTTGCGAAATGTAAAAACCTAACAAAAACCGGACAAGCCGCACGTGGTTTATTTTAGCCGGACATGCAATCGAAAAGTCTAGCTATGCCCCAGCTTTATCCGGCCTAGCAACGCTACTTCCGAGTGCGGAAATCGAACCCGGGCCGCCGCGTGGCAGGCGACCTTTCTACCACTAAACCACCGATGCTAAAGCTCGCACAAAAAATAAGATAAAGAGAAAAGAAAAACTCTAAAAAACAGAAATTCAAAACAAAAGAAAGAAAATGTCCTGCCACTTAGTGGGGAAGCCAGAATTATAAAAAAAAAAAAACCACCGATGCTTGTTAATGAGGTATGAATTTATAAGTAACATTAAAAACATTAATACGACATGCTAAATTTGCATGAAAAAAATGTTGCTACGTAATGTAAGTTTCACTTTAAAAATAAACTGTAGTACTTGAATAAATTTATTTAACGTGAAAACGCATGTAGTGAACGCAGTAAACTTAATTAACAAGGCACAGAGAATACGTGAAAATTACGTGAACGTGTATGCAATCACGTTAAATTTTCGAACTCTGCGAACAGTGATTATGTTCCAAACTCATTAAATACTTTCGTAAATACACTTAAACAACTTGCTGTTGAACTAACAAGAGCTCTTTCATGATAAAATAAATAATTAATAATTATAATTTATTTATTTACTTGAACAACTATGTGGTCCATAAAGCGTTAGTAACAATTTCCCTTAAATATACTATGTTAGTAAATATTTAAAATTAAATCACACTCAAAACATAAAAATTATTATTTGGCCACAATCTGCCTGCCTGTGATACAGAGTTGCACCCATTTCTTTATAATGGGTGAATCATATTTTGTACCTATGGTCTTTAGAATGGAGTTCGTACTAGCCCGCACTCTGTGTAGCATTGAGGCTGCTGTCTTTCCTAAAATGGCGTAAAGATCATCGGTATGTGCCTGAGCGAACATATTCGATGCACTACAATAACGAGCCAGCCCGAACAAACAAATAAAAAACAAATTTGAAAAAAAAAATGTCAATCATCACATCTCACTTCTCCAGGACTGGTTTTTTTTATACAAGATGCAAAAAAAATACCCCACTCCGCTTGATATTAAGTGTAAGTGCAATCCAGTCGCGAAGATAAATGATGCGGCAGGGGGTGTGCCGCTCCAGTCATCCTCACTTTGCGGGCCTGAACTAAAACCCCTGCCCCGCGGAGGTTTGAAACCCTAATCACCAGCACAAATACAATACCACCAAAATGTTGTATTTTTTGCCGTACAAGTGATCTTTTGTAAGGTGAATTTTTCTTCCCCAGACGTTCGCTCCAACTCGAGCAGAAAATCCGCTGTGCCCTACCAATCTTAATATCTACGAATGCTATGAGAGATTATTTTATTTACGTTATCCAAGAATACCTGTCTGAATATACTAATCGCATCGCAACCTCGATCTCAACTGTGATATTTCAGAATTTCAGACGTCTATTTAACGCACAACAACAACAAAATTTCAATATAAATAATTATTATTACAACTCCAACCTATTGGTCTTCGATCAGTTTACAGTTTGCGCGACTTTCTATTTCATATTAATCGCACAACTACCTGTCAATGTGCAGTCGTTTCGAAGAGTGGGAAAATCGTTTTCCGTACTGTGTAAAGAGGCCTAGCCAGTTTCCCGGGGTAGCTAGGAGGGGGTGAGGCCAGCCATTCAGTTCGCGACGCGCAACGGGGTAGCACGCGCGCCAACGCGACACCACAAGATGTCATTCCATTTTTGAAAATCATAGTGCAGTGCAAACATACATCAACAGATTAGGGGCAAAGATGACGAAATTTCACGTACTCCTGTTCGCTCTCTTCGCAGTTTCTCTGGCACTGGGTAAGTGGCTATTCGCCCGTGAAGCTTGATTTTGTTCTTTTTTTATTTTTAACGTCCCAACCTTTTGTTTGTGATGTTAATTTTATGCGTGCGTTCCGTTACACGGAGGGCTGTGTTTAATTAAGAATCTATTATGTATGTAAACAAACCGAGTTTTTTTTTGGACGATTTGTATAAATCTCGGTTTACATACGTGCAGGGGTGACTCATGCCTTACAAAATTACTTTCGGATGAATGGTAAAACATTAGTCCTCTAAAATATTCTATATATTATATAAATTATTAATTTATATTTAAACAAAACATGTGAATGGTTTTAAATGAAATAACCAAATCAATGTAAACACGACGTATTTGTTTTGTTCGGTTTTTTATGAAAGAAGAAGATATTTTTATTTATTCATTTATATTTGAAATAAACTTAAATACATATTAAACTTAAACTTGTTTTCTCCGTGGCGGTTTACTTAAACGACTATCATATCAGGAATGGTTTAAAATGAAATGCTTGCTATATTTATTCGCGTAGCGTAAACAAAAATATAAGTATTTTTTTAAGATAGTAATGGATATATTGTAGGGTAAGTTTGTGTGTTTGTTATTTGATCACGATAAATCAGCTGAACAGTATAGGATCAATTTAACACATGAATAGAACATGAATGGGATAGAGGGAGACAAAGGGAATTTTGTATGCCTAAAAATTAGGTTCCTTTGGGATAGTCCTTACCTTTTAAGTAATGTATATTCTATTTATAAAAGAAAAAAAAGGATATTTAAATATCCGAATAAAGTCTAGTAAAAAATACGCTACATAAACAGCCGTATCTTTTTTAAGTAAACTTAAAATTTTTTGTTCGTATATTGGGCGCCCCCCCTTTCTAGAAGCTAAACTATTGGCTAGATAAACTTGAAACAATCACGGTAGCGCTCTTCAGGAACTATTAAGGAAAAAATATTGCGTTTCAAATAGGTTTGTTAGTTTAAGAGTAATGGTCGTTCAACTTATGTATTAAAAAAAATCTGACCTAAAAAAAATTACTTTGAAAAAAGGCATTAAAAGTGACTTAGACGAAAAAATTGCTAAAAATATACGAATTCTTTCCAAAATATATTGTGGTGACAACGAGCAACTACAGAACCTTACACTGCGCGTGGCACGTCAGGAACTTGGCCGGATTTTTTTCCTTATGAGTGCGGAACCCAAAAAAAATAATGATAATAAATTTTACATGAAAATGTTTACCATAATTAAGCTTTGTTTTTAATTAAACAATTAAGTTAAGTCGCAGTTTAGATACTTATAGGTCGGTGGGTGTTTTTATCTGAAATAAAACATTTATTGTTACAAAATTATGCACAGCAAAATTAAGGATTGCAATTTTTATTGATTCATATGTATTATGGAAAAGAAAGGAAAGGAAATGAAAGAATAAAGAAAGAAAGAAAAAGAAAATATATGGAAAGGGCTATGCTCGGCGTTTCTCTGAAGGATCGCATCAGAAATGAGGTAATCCGACAGAGAACCAGAGTAATCGACATAGCCCACCGGATAAGCAAGCTGAAGTGGCAGTGGGCTGGCCATATTTGCTGAAGAACCGATAACCGTTGGGGTAGACGAGTTCTGGAGTGGAGACCGCGTCTAGGCAAACGTAGTGTAGGACGTCCTCAGGCACGATGGAGTGACGATTTGCGCAAGGTGGCTGGTAGGACCTGGATGCGAATAGCCCAAGATCGATCTGAGTGGCGTGCATTTGGATCTACTGAGACCTATGTCCAGCAGTGGACTAAGATGGGCTGTTGATGATGATGATGGAAAACACGTCTCTGTATCTGGAGGTGGACGCTAATAGCTGTACTACAGTTCTGGAAACAAATACAGCTATTAACGAACCTAAATTATAAATGTAACTTTAATTAGTCCCGGTAAATATATTATTCATTTTCATTATCACACCTTAATGTTAAGGGTACCTGTGCTCTACCCGCACAGTGAATTTTTCGCTCGAATTAAATAAATAAATATTTCCGACACTCACACCAATAAGCCTAGCCCCAAAGTAAGCACTCTAAGGCTTGTGTTATGGGATGCTAGGGTAACGGATAGAATACATATACTGTACATATATAAGTATATTTATATAGAAATAGATATTAAACATCCATGACTGGAGTACGAATGTTCGTATTCATCACACAAACTCTGCCCCTACCGGGATTCGAACCCGGGACCTCTCGAGTCAGCGACACTATGAAACCCGGCGTACAAACCACTCGGCCACGGAGGTCGTCAAATTGGAGCATCCGTCCGGGGAAGCAACCTCCACTATACAGACGACCACAGCAAAATAACACTACCTTTTGGTGGTGTTGCGTCTCTGTTGGTAAGAAGGGTTCTAAGTTTTTCCGCGGGGTTCCGTATACGACCGTTAAACTATAATTAGTTAAATTTGTAATCAAACGTCATTCTATCTATCTGAGTTTTTCAGCAGCAATTCCAAATCAATTTTTTACAATGGATAATGAATAATAATAATAATAATCTTTTGTTTCTTCGTCCGTCAGGTAATCTACCTCAAAAATCAAAAAGTATTAGGACACATATTTTTTTTCCTTTTTTCACAGAAGTAATCAAAACCAAAACATTACAGGGGTTGGATTTAGAAATAAGTCGCCTGAATTTGAGGCTACTGGATGTGTAAGGGGTTAAAGTAATATCGTTTTTGACTAAAAAAATTAAAAGTACTTTATTAACTAAATTAACTTATAAACATAAGAAGAAGATAGAAAGAATCTCTGAGTTTGTTTCGCCGGTTCTTCTCATAAACGTCTCCCAATTATAGAAACGGTGCTACTTTACGGTGGTTAGAGTCAAAAAAAAAAAAAATCCTCAAAATTATATAAAAAATATAGTACTTTATTTATTAAATTAACTAATAAATTCATACATAGACAATAAAGTTTTAAAAATCTTCCAATGAAATATCCGAACGCTCAATAGAATTCTTTCGAAGGTAGCTTGACAAAGTAAATAAAAAATCATTATTCTGACGATGCAGACCTGAAAAGGCTGCGAAACGTCAATAAATAAATAAAGTTCGTGCATTAACCCGTTAAAACTAGTTTTATTTACGTTGGTGTAAACGAGGGGTTACAAGTAACGTAAGCCCAGTTATCTTTGTTATTTTAAATTTGATTGAAAAAAGAAAATATAAATTGCAAGTGAAATAAATATCTGTAATAATGTAATATTTTTTGATTGTCTAACTTAAGAAACTGTATAGAAATTCGTTTACTTCCCCCCTGACATCGCCCTTTTGAATTGTGTACTGTTTTATCATTGAGGAAGTTCTACCGTTTTACTCGGAAAGTACAAATTGAAAATAATTTGCTAAATTTGAATAGGATCATTCGAATATAAGCTTTTTTAGTTGCACAAACACAGATTACTAAATACCTAAACATGCTAAAATTCTATATAAATAAAGTAAATCTTTATATATATAATTCTTCTGTGAGTGTGTATGTCACTGAACTTCTCTTAAACGACTGGACCGATTTTGATGAAATTTTTTGTGTGTGTTCAATGGGGTTCTGAGAATGGTTTAGATTCACAATTTTGTCCGCTGGACAACCCCTATTTTTTAGGGCGGTACGAAGTTCGCTGGGTCAGCTAGTATTTTTATAAGCGTTTAACTGCTAGATGTTAAAATCTGATGAAAATTTTACTAGTAAAAGTTCCACGCGGACCAAAGTTTTTTTTCATTCTGACAACGCACTGACAGGTTCGCAATTTCTATTGTTGTCGCTGTAATTTGAAACGTTTTATTTGACAAAAAGCTTTTTAATTTGTCTCTCAAAAAAAAAACAGTAAAACAGTAATTAATTCACGAAATTCTGAAAACCATCTTTGTAATTTTTTTGTCAGTTCTGTTCCTATATTATGTGCCCACTCTCATCCTGTACAATGAACAAAGCTCGAGAAATATAACATCATTGTTCTTAAACAAATCTTAAAGTAAAACGGAGAACGTAAGTACCGACAGCCACGCATAAAGTTATATGCATTGTGAATCTTACAACAAGCGCAATAGAGCTCAAAGTTAGTCGGAAAAAATTGGCAGGTTTAGGTAACTTGATTTGTGGCTGTATGTACCACCCGCTTTCCCGTCACCCTTAAGCTTTTAATACAGCGTTGAAACTTAAAATGTACGAGTTTTTCATGTAAATTAAATAAAATGGCAGTCTTATGTATGTATTTGAAATTATGGACCCTTGCGGTTTGGGGACGAGAGCTCTTCGTTGGGCCGAGGGTCTTCGGGTGAAATGTCCTTTTGTTTTTTTTTTGTTGCTTAATAATTTTGTTAGCCTTGGCCTTTTTCATTCAAGATATGGCCGTATGCAAACCTTTTTCTCTGTGCTAGGTATTTTAAATACTTTCTCATGAATGCCTTTCGAGTAAATGATGCGAATGATTTGAAAGGAGCTCGATAGCGCCGGTGGTTTGCTCGTTCGTCCTAAGATCGTGAAAGTTAAGCAACTGTCACAATGGTCGGTCATTGGATGGGTGACCAAAAATTATTGCTTTGAGTTCTCCGTTACCTTGCATCCACAGCTTAGTTTAGGGCTAGTTGTTTGAAGATGTCCAACGTTAATTAACTTTTATACAAAGATGAAGTAAAAATGTCTTAAATATACCACCGCACAGTGTTTTATAGAACCTAAAATATTTACACCTTAAGGTTTTTGCATAAATCAATTATTTAAACCCTAATAAAGGCAAGAGTTCAATTCCCAGATCACTATTTTAAGTAAAAAAAAAAGATATGAAGTAGCAAAGTTTTTGAAATTTGCGCATGAAAAAATTAACAATTTAATTTCCTCAAAAGACGGTTCCATATCTGTCCATGAGATATTTGCCACTTGCTAAGGAATTATTGATGGCATAATTTTGTAATTTTATTTTATTTATAAGTGTCCTAGTTTCCAAGAAATATAG